TGGGGCGGAAAGGGGCGGCGGCCCGCGTGTCAGGGGCGGAAAAATGGCCGCGGACCACGTGGCAGGGGCGGAAAAATGGCCGCGGACCACGTGTCAGGGGCGGAAAAATGGCCGCGGACCACGTGGCAGGGGCGGAAAAATGGCCGCGGACCACGTGTCGGGGCGGAAAATGGCTGCGGACCACGTGTCGGGCTGAAAATGGCCGCAGACCACGTGTCAAGGGTGGAAAAATGGCCGCGGACTGTGTCACGGGAGGGAAAATGGCCGCGGACCACGTGTCGGGGCGGAAAATGGCCGCGGACCACGTGTCGGGCTGAAAATGGCCGCAGACCACGTGTCAAGGGAGGGAAAATGGCCGCGGACTGTGTCACGGGAGGGAAAATGGCCGCGTATCCTGCTCGTACCCCGAGGCGGAGTTTGCAAACCGAAGCAAAATTTTGCGGCCGGAGCTGGTCGTAACCCGAAAAGTTCGTGAACAGAAGCGTTCGTAACCTGAGGTTCCACTGTACCTCTTTCTTCTTGACCCCATCTTTTCTTGTTTTATCATACACCCCTCTTAAGTACCCCTTTTCCACTCATTCAGTTTACTTTTATGTTTCTCCTGATGTCTCTAACTTGCAAATAAAATATCTCAAATGTTCTTCCTATACTGCTTCATCTTTAGTAAACATTTTGCTAAGGTATACAAGTTAATCTGCTTGCTCTAGATTGTTGCTATTTATATAACTTGAAATCGTTCACTGTATTTTCTCTGTCAAAAAGAACTGCCTCGCTCTTTGATACATAATTTGCAGTTACATATTCCTTACTGGACCACACAATTTTCTAACATTTGGTGCAGATCATTCAGGTTCTTAACAACACGGCCACTGTTGAATACAAAAGTACATATATATTCATGTACTTAATCAACACATCTCAACCATCACCACAAGCATTCCTTATGGATTTTTTCATGAATACTTTGAATAAACAAGTAGACATCATATATTTTTGTCTTACTCCCTGCTCAGTGTTCCACCACTCTTATGTATTCTATCTATTTGCATGCATGCTTTATTTCTATCATGTGCTGCTCTTACCTCTTTCAGCAACCAATCTTAATGTGGAATGTGCCTATTCCATAATTTGAGCCTATTCACTTTATCATACATTTTCTTGAAATCAACAAACATACAGTAAGGATACATTCTCACATTGCATACATTTCTCAATGATCTGCTGAAAAGCAAAAGATGGTTGGCACATGCCCTATTCAATATTAACATATGAAATACATACCAGAACTGGTGGTTTACATGTTGAGAATCTGATGTATATGATGAATATAGTAGGCCAGTAGCCTTATCACTTTTATTTTACTTTTGTCCAATTGCTGACTTTTTGTTTTCTAGACTATATACAATCGGTGTAAGCTTGATATCAATGGGTCGTACATACATCCCACCAACAGTGGATCGGCAGTACAACAACAAGACTCTAATCCCATTCAGAGGTAAATGTTCTTGTGCATATAAAAGTTAAATTCTTTTTTGATCTGAAAATCCCTTGACAGCCTTGTAACATTGGGGGGGCGGGGGAGGAAGTTTCTCTTCTAGCAAAAATGTGAAAATTGTCATGAAAATGTGAAGTCCTTAGTGAGATATGAATAAAAGTAAATATTTAATTGAAGGTGCTGTAATTTGTTTTAAAGATGTGGTTTGTAATTTTTTTAATATTACATAGTATGTTAGAAAGCTTGGGATTTGTTTAAAAACAAAGTGAAAATATAAAAGTATCACTATAAATATTTCCTCTTCTGTTTGCTTAATTACTATGTATTAATGCAAGTACAGTGGTACCTCGGGTTACGAATTTAATCCGTTCCGTGACTCTGGTCGCAACCCGAAAAGTTCATAAGCAGAGGCGTTCATAACCCAAGGTACCACTGTATACTTTATTACATCTTTCAGTTATAAATGCCTAGGTTTTTTCTTGATAGTTCTCTA